CGGCAGTGGCTGAATCAGGACGCCTGGGGCAGAGCAGCTGGGGTGCTGCCGGGTTGGTCCAGTAGCGCCCAGAGTGGCGCTACGGGACCAACCGGCAGCGCCCCAGCTGCTGTACCACAGGCGTCTGGAACAAAGCCGCGGAGCACGGGGGCAGCAGGACAGCCCAGACGCGCCGCGGCTGTCCCACTGCTGGCGTCCTCCGAGGCTTTGCTCCCCGTCTCCCTGGTCTACTGGAGACAGCAGACCAGGGAGACGGGGAGCAAAGACAGCCGCGGCGCGTCTGGGCTGTCCCGCTGCCCGCGTGCTCCGCGGCTTTGCTCAGCGTCTCCCTGGTCTGCTGGGGGGAGCTCCCCCCCAGCAGACCAGGGAGACGCGGAGCAGCTTTTCTCGCCCCGGAGGACGCGGGTGGTGGGACCGCGGCGCATCTGGGAGTCCCGCCGCTCCCGTCCTCCTGGGCGAGAAAAACCCCGTTCGTAACTGTGGATCCGACGTATGTCAGATCCGCGTAACTCGGGGACTGCCTGTATTGCATGGCTTACTCTGAAATGTGTTAAAAATGTCTTAGTGCTGGATTACCAAGAAAGGGAAAATCACTACTGGATACGGAATTAGCACAGTATCAAATGAAGTGTTTGCGTTGTGTAATTATTATACATCATAAAAAACGCATAAGATATCCTGGAAGGAAATATGGTTTAATAAGTAGAGAGAAGCAGCATAGGTACCTTTCATTAGTTTAGCAAATGGTTCAGGACAGGTGGATGGAATGGGCAAAGTAAGCTTATTGACAGCTACTCCGTAAGCCACAGCAAGACCATCAATGCCACGGTAAGGAACTTCTCCTGTAAGCAGTTCCCACAGCAACACTCCGTAACTAAAAAACCAAATTTTTACACAGTTAAGTATATCTTCTGAATATTGACATACAGTTTACTCAGGGACAAACAAGTCAGTACTCTGCACACTATATAGTTCCACAAAGAGAGGACGGTCTCTCTCCGCTCTTTGTCACGATCTTCAGGGGACTATTCCCCCTTCATCTGCGATTTTTTTCTCCCATAGCAATAAGTAAAACTGGATACGCTGGGCAAATAAGCGGGCTATTGAAACCATACCCTATCTAATCACTGTCACTTACCTGCCATCAAAACCAGCAAAACAAAACTATTTAAAAATACTTTAGTTGTAGACTTTTTTTTTTAAACTTGGATGCCTCCACCATGTAAACCTTGATGGGAAAGGAAGAGGTTAAGAACAAATGAGAACCAAAATGTTCTACCTCAAAACAATGAAGTAGAAAACTTACCCAAGGACAATTTATTTCAATGTATACACTTTATTGAAAGATTAAAAACAGCTTCATTTGAGAATTGAAATGTCTGTATCCCTACAGCATACTGCAGAATGAGCCCCTAACTTTTTTCCCTTTGATAAAAAGGTACAGCAGGATTAAGACATGATAATATATTCATTTTTGCTGGGCTGGGTAACAGAAAATATTGCTACAGTCAAAGGGAAGAAAGAACTCCTAAATTTTAAGGAACAGATTTATCTCTGACTGTGTGTCAGGTATCAATACACCTGTTACTGTCAATACACTTGTCACTGTGAATTAGACTAGCCAAAAGAAATTCAGAAACAAATTCCATCCTAAAATTTAAATTATTTCATTCTTTTTACTTCTTAGAACTCCAGTAACCTTTCTTGCATTAAGCATATTTAATAGTTGCTGGCTCCCAGGCACTACCTGAGTAGTGTCCCCTTGCATTAGTATTATACAGAGAAGTATACAGTTTATGCCCTTTAGAGCTCAGAATTTAAG